GCAGCAGCAGCAGCAGGAGGCGACAACAACAGCAACATCATCGAATGCGTTAATTAAAATTATACTAAAAGCGGCAACAGCCAGGGAGCAGCTGCTGCTGCTGCTGTTGCAAAGGAAGCAGCAACCATAAGAATGAGAAATGTGGCAACAGACAACACAACACAACACAACAACACAACACACGAGGCGGCACACAAAAACATTCGCCTGTCGCTCAGCTATTAATATATATACAAAAAAATGGCAAATATACGATTAGCCAAGTTTATTCTCTTGCGTACCCCTCTGCAACATGTTGCTGCCCGACTGCGGCGCATAGTAAATATTGACAAGCAGCAGCAACATATATCCAACGATTCGAACAGTTTCCCGATCCACAGACTGGGGTGCCAGGAGCCAGAGCAACATGAATATCGCACCTTGTAAACTCATTTGCGCGTACGTGTTGAAACAAATGTTTGCGGGGGGTATGAGTAAGTAAAATAAAGAAAAATTGCCATCCAACAAGCAATTGGTGATTGCAGCGTGACACGAGTGGGGCAATACATACATATACATATGAGAAATAATTTTTTGTAGGATTTCACAGCAACATTTAAGAGCAGTGAAAGTTAACTCTAATGGCAACCTTCCCCCTTCTTCCCCCTTCTGTCATTTAAAGCCTTTAGGAGGTTTCTACTAGTCTGGTCACGCCCCCATCTTTAGTGGCAGAAAACAAACAGCCAAAACAGTTCCGTTCCCTTGTTCCCGCTGGCAACAAATGTTGCATTGGCAATTGCCATAAGTCAGACAGAGCGCCCCAGAAGAGACTCCAACTGCAAGTTGCAACTGCAACTGCAACGGGCAGCGCGGTAGCAACATGACCACGCCACAGGAGTGAATTTCATTGCATGCAGTTTATGTGCGGCCTAATGGGGATGTTGTTGTTGCTGCTGTTGCTGTTGCTGTTGCTGTTACCCCTCCTGGTGATGTTGATGGGGAAGCCACCAGCAACACGTCCATCTTCATCATGGACAACGGGTGAGCTGTGCTCTGCTCTCCTGGCTTCTGGCTTCTGGTTCCCGTTCCTGATTCCCGTCTCATTGCTGGCTTCTTCCTACGTTTTGCCCTGCTGTGCACTTGGCGTTTGTCTGGTTGCTGTTTTTTTATTTTTTCGGCACCATGACACCAGCAGAGCAGCCCACAGTCCCCCCTGCCCCACTGGCCAGCGATCCCCTCCAGCTTTATGCAAATGCTGCTGCTTCCACTGCCGTTGCCGTTGCTGCTGCTGCTGCTGCTGCTGCTGCTGCGTGTCAATGCAAACTTTGCTGACTTGCATGCGAATGTTGCCTGCACAAACATTGAGGTGTACTGCCAAAGTTGTCGTCATACTCGCAGTCCGAGGAGTCGCCGCTTGTCGTCCCCAATGTCCATGTTGTTTCTGTTGGTCTTGTCTTGTGCTGTTTGTGTTGCAGCAGCAGCAGCGGTTGTGGCTGCCTCCCTGGCTTGTTGGCCTGTGCGACCACAGCTGGGTGTCCTGGCCGCCACCGCCGCCGCTGCGCGTACTGTTAAGCAAACTCTGAGGCAAACGCAAAAGGCAAAGGGCAAGGGATTCCTCACATCTCGCATCGTCGAAATGGAAATTGGACTTGGCCCTGGCCCCAGAGGATTGAACAGAAAAGAAGCTGCCACAGTGCGTATCAGTGCTGCTAGAAAGTTGGGTAAATAAAGCAGCTAGAGGAAAGTGGATAATACCTGTTATCATTTCTGGGAATTTATTCTGCCTTTCTCTCTTCAAAAAATATCGCTATTATCCCATGCAACCATCTGCCAGAGTTTCTTTAGATATCCTTCCATATGCTCCACTTTATCTTACCTTTTTCTGGCCCTTTATTTTTGGCTATAAATTAACCAAAAAGTCTCAGCACTGATGTGCGTAAGTTGTCGATGCCTTGAATACCTCTCTGTACCAGATTCCCCCCCATTTGGTGTTACATTTTTACGTGCTCCAACGCCCAATGATGGCACACAGAGCAATGCTGCTGCTGATGAAGAGAGAGTGAGGAAGCTGGACAGTTGACCACCGGGCCAACGCCTACGCAGGCAAGGCAGGCAGTCAGTCGGAATGGGAATCTGCGGGGCCACTGCAGCATGATAAATGTCCGATCCCCTGCCTAGGTGTAGCACGGCTCTCCGTGTCTCTGTGTACGTGACTGACAGCCGTGGAGCAGTGGCTTACCCAAAGAGGGGCATAACCAAGTATGTATCTCAGCTCTGGCTTTCCTTGTGCCTGTGTGTGTGGTGCCCCTCCAGTGAGACGCCCCTGACTGGCAGAAATAGAACGTGTGCCAGCGCGATTCATGTGGCGAGGATTTTGGCACCGAGCTTTTTGCGCCCCCACCAAAATCAATTAAAATGCCAATCGGCATGAGTCACAAGGCACGCACAAGGCGGAGAGGAGACCCATCAGCGCTGAGGTTGGTCCTCAGAAAGTGTTGAAAGGCGAAGGCTGGACCGAGCCGGGCCAGGCCACCTTTTGTTTGGGACCTCCTCAAAGGCTGATCTGACGATGACGACCATGACGATGAAGCTGATGATGCACTGGCGATGATGGGCCAATAGCCAGAAATTACAAAGCTTATTGGGATTGAGATGAGCAGACAGGGGGGGGGGGAGGGGGGAAGGGTAAACATGAAACGAGCGTTGAGTTGTGTTGTCAGTTGCATGTGGCATGGAGTATAAAAATTTGCATACCCAATCATCGAGAGGCAATCCTCACACTTGACCCCATTTCATGACTCCCCGGCACTCTGGCACGTTCTGTAATCGATCATCAATGCTTAAAGTGGCCGCCGCGGTCGATGTTCATCAAAGATATACATATGTATATCTTCCGAGAGAGATTCAAGCTGCAAGATCAGAGGACCCCAACAAAGCGCATACCACAAATATCAATTAATTTCAGCGGGCCATGGTAGGGCAGTGGCAGGGACAGGCACAGGCACAGGGGCAGGGGCAGCGCGTGAAAAGGCCAAACAAAATCGTAATAAGTCAATGCCTCCGATGGACACTGAGACTGAGATCGAAGTTCCAGAACTTGAGACCTTTTTCACTGCCTATTGATAAACACAAATAATTTTGTAGCAGGATGGGGACGGTACGCTGTCTGTGTGTCTCTATCTCTGCGAGTCACAATCATCATCAATCGGTTAAGAAAATATTTAACAAGTGTTTGAATGATTTTGAAAAATGATGTGCAGCATGTGCAGGAACAGCAACAGACCGACAGACCAACAGCTTCAGCCGCAGCCTCGAGACCAGAGTCGTCTACAAATTATTGCACGCGATCGCTCATTTCCAGCAGAAATAACACAAACACGGCAGCAACAGCAACAGCAACAGCAGCAGCAGCAGCAGCAGAACCAAAACCAAAACCAACCAAGCACACGGCGGAACGACGGACGAGGTAGCAGGAGAGAGCCCAGAACAGGCCCGCTTGGCAGAGTCAGGCCAAAACTCGAGTTGCCAGTTCCCAATCTTGAATGCGATGTAGATATAGCAAATAAGATATGGCTGGGGCATGTCATGAGGCTCGCGACTGTGAAAACATCTCAATGGCAAAAGTATCACATCATTCATAATTTCATTGCCGTAGAGAAGAGCATGGGATTGTTGTACACTCTCGTCGTATCATGGGGATCGAGATCGAGATCGAGGTCGAGGGAGGCAGCGCAGGGCAGGGCAACAGAGGTGCAGAGGCACCACCACTGGGAATTGAGTTGTTGTACCTTGCCACGAAAATCTCTCGCTTCAAGTGTTGAATGTTTGCTCAAATAACAACGATAACAACAACAGCCAGGCAACAGATCTCAAGATCTCGCTCTCTCTCTCTCTCTCTCTCTCTCTCTATCGGTCTCTCGGGAGATCTCTTTGGGGGCGCGGTGAAATTTGACAAATGAACCGAAGAAGCCGGAGACCAAACAACAACAAAATAAAAGAGAGAGAAAAAAAGACGTATACGATATGTATAATAGCAACCTACTGATAGCAACCGTGTTTTCAAGTCTGTTGCCCCGGAGTGATCATTATTAATGATGACGATTTGTTGATATTTTCGTAACGTGCTGTGGAAAGCCTCGTCTTCTGGCTTCGGCTGCAATGCGATCGCACAATTATAAACCAACAACAGAAATTACAAACAAGTGCAGTACCCAGTGCCCAGATCGGACCCTGCTGCTGTCCTCTCTAAATGTTCAAGTCATTCCAAACCCGCCTTCTCACACTCTCAATCGATCCCAATAAGCATGATCATCATGATGATCTTCCACACACAAATTGCTCGATCCGAACAGCTGCTGCTGCTGCTGGCTGGCAGGAAATCTTTGCATAATCTAGGCTTATAATTCAATTAATACACGCACTCGTCCCTCTCTTTGCACTTAACGGCCAAACTTTGAGTGCAACACTAGAATGCAACCACATGACTGGCAACATGAGTGTCCGTTCGTCCCAAGAGCAGCAGCTGGGGAGATGAGATGACGGCCAAGAACGTCGTCGTCACACTGTCTGCTGAAGATACTTTACTTGATCCATCGATGAATGGGCACAGGTAGAGGTAGAGGTAGAGGTAGAGGTACTGATACAGGTTGATGATGGAGCTGCACCGGAAATCGATTTCGAGTGTTGCCCAAAGAGATCGTTTGAGGCATTAGCATTAGCAAATGATATTGGGATGCAGGATGAACGAAGTTTGTAGGGAAAGTGAACCAGTTAAGCGACATAATCCCAATTTCGTTTATAAAAAATGCATTTAAATTTCGTTTATAAAATGTTTTTTTTTCATTCATTCTTTTTAATTGATTTCGGTTCATCATTTAATTGTATTTTTCATTATAATTTGTGTTAACTAAATGTTAGTTTTTTGTGTTTAGATTTTTCTTTTCGTTTTCATTTCGTATCCATTTGTGGCTATCAATTAATATTTACAAATGCTACACATAGGATACATACATACAGCTATGTATAGGCATATTTATAGCGATTTTTATACATTTAAAAAACAAGAAAATAAACAATAACAACGTTTCTCATGGTAGGCATACGATAATGATAGGATATACGTAGGCATAAATATATTACAGGAGCCTTGGCAAGCAGTTTATCAATCTTTAAATTGTACACAACTGAATAATTGTGTATGTACGAGGGGGGTAGGGCAGGGGGCGAAACACTTAGCGACTATCGAAATATTAAACTAAATTAAATTTAAATTTGATTTAAATTAAATTAACTAAGCTGCAGCTTCTTACACTACAATGCAGGAATGTTTGTTTGTTTTGTCTTTCTGTTCTTTTTGTGGGTTTCTTTATGAGATTTCTGGTACGATGCTTGATGGATGCTCAAAGCCTAACTGGGAGGGGAATGCTATGGTTTCTGTTTTTGCTGGGTTTGTTTTCATTTCATATGCAAGCTTCACATACAATTTTGACTAGGAAAGGACGTTTAGTGTTTTTCATTCATGCTTTGAATCATGCCCCCGCTAGCGATGGGCTCGTGCTGGCGAGGACTGCTCTAGTCACACCTCACTGGGCATACAATGCACACTCGAGTCCTGTGACATCTCATCCATGGAGGATTCTGTAGCAAAAAGAAAGAGTAAGAAATTAGGCTACTTAGTTGTGGCAATGTAGTGATAGTAAATCCCCCAAAAACTTGTTTTAAATTTCTTACCATGTGTCGGGTATAGACCCGCTTTAGAGCCGTTCATATGCATTGGATTCTGTGCGTTATTCTGAAATGAATACGTTAACTGCAGGTTAATATGACGCGCAAATGAGCTTCCTTCCGGTTCGCGTACTGCAATCAGAAATCGTTTGTTGAGAAGAAGAAAGAAAAACAGAAGAAATTGTGAATACTTTTTTTTTTTTCTTAGATGTACTTCAAGTCTGTGTCTCTCTCTCTACAGGATACTGGATACGGGGATAGTGGTTTAACTACTGTGGTTTCTTGTGGCTTCTAGGGTCTAAGGGGGGAGCTGGCATGCTGCACTAATCCACTACTTACTTTTATTCTTACCAGCATGTATGTGTTTTTTCTGACGCGCACGCGAATTCTGGAACCACACTTGCGTCACACGCTTGCTCAGACCGGTCACCGATGCAATGCGCTCCAAATCCTGACCATCCGGATTACTGTCAATCTGAAAGTTGGCCTGCAGCACTTGCAATTGCTCCTCGGTGAAGGTGGTGCGCACACGTTTCGTTTTACTCTTGTGATAACCATCACCATCACAGCCCTCTGCAAGCGAGAAATAAAAGGCGGAATTCGAATCAGAAACAGAAATCATAAATGGGTATCTGTAGGGCAGACGCGACTTATTGCCACTACTGGACTTGGTCTCTGGTCTCTGGTCTCTAAAAGCATTTTGACATCCAACCAAATTGAAAATGTCAAAAAGTGTTTATAGTTTATAGTACTTTACAGACGGACCAGCTTGGTGGTCTCTGCGCACTCTGGAGTAGAGTTTTGTGGGGCAGGGGCAACGACATTCTCAAGCCGATCACGTCGCCTCAGAGGCAGAGTTAGTGCCACAGCCGCAGACCTGACCCGAGATGAAGAGTTTGGTTTTGTGTTTTACGAGTGTGACACGATTTCATCAGGGGAAGAAGGTCGGCTCCAGGTCTGGTCTTGGGTCTTGGCTACTGGCGACCGACTGGCGCTAAGTTCTTTCTCTGTTCCTCTGTTTTCACTGTACTTAAAAACAGTGAAGCGTTCCAAATTGGCAACCGATTCCAGCCACTGAAGCGTGCATCATGTTTCCAACTTGTTCGCTGATGTTTTATGCTCTTTAAGGGTTTTGCTTCTGTTTGCTGATTTCATTTCGCTTACCGTCACTTGAGGTGGTGCCACCCTCGACCGTTTCCAGATAATGAGCCTTGCAGAGCACACGGTCATCCATGAGGGCAAACTGTTCCCCGGTGGACAACTGGCGTCCGCATTGATCGCAGGCAAAGCAGGCCAAATGAAAGACCAAATCCCTGGCACGTCTCACCCAGTCCGAGGCGGAGATGCCGCGACAGCATTTCGAGCATTTGGCGCCAAAATTTCTGTAATTAAAAAGGCAGAGAGAACGGATATTGTAATCAGTTTTCAGTTTTTTTATGGGCTTTACATGTTGGAGGAATATTCCTTGGAATATTTATATTGGAGATTGATTTTCCAAGCGGAAGTTGTGGCTCTCTTATCTCCCTATCTAAACTTTTTCCAAATGAGTTGGCAACTTTTTGGTAGCTTATTGTTAGCCTTTAAGCTTATTTTTACAACAGCCCCCAACAATGTATGGGAGAGGGTGGGGAGCTATGTGTATGGAGCATGACTCGGACGTGAGTTTGTGGACCTGGACCTGCCTGGCATTGAGTAGGGGGTTTGGTGCTGAAGCTATAGATGGAGCTGAAGCCCCTGTTGTATGATGTCTCCATCGGGCAATGCACACTTAAAATTCTTAACTTGAAAAATAAATATTTTTACAGCATCTCACGGCGCGTCTGTTTGTTTATTTTCATTTGGTTCGACGTCGACACCGTTTTCCAACGACTCCCTTTCTCCCTGCCTTTGGACTCCCCATCTACCATCTACCATCATTCTCTGGCTGTATCTTTATGTATCCATAAGATACTTTTGCTTGCAAGTTGCATTTTGTTGGAGAAGTTTTCATTTTGGCTGCTGCTGCTGCTGCTGCTGCATCTTTTGTCATTTATTGACTTTATGGATTAAGTCGCAAACGTTGTCGAATTGTTACAATTATCCAGCTCTGGTACTCGGGGAAGATGTGTGGGAAAACTATTTGGAAAACACTTGTGCACACCACCACAAAATACAAGCTGGAAAATCAATTGGAATTTCCCAAACATAAAAAACCAGGGAAAGCTCGTTGAGGTATCGGGGGGATCTGCATAAGTTAGATGGGTGGAAAACTCACTTGCTGTAGTCGGCCTTGCAGTAGACCTGCCTTTCCCGGATGAAGCACGATTGCTGACGGTCCAAGGGGCACATGCACATGCAGCATCTGAGGCAATGGGCGTGCCACGAGCAGCCGCCAACCTCGAGAAAGAATCGATCCGAGATTGGTTCGCCACACGCTGCGCAGGAACGCAGCTCAGTCTGAAAAAAGAATAGATTATTAGTTGGAATCTCTAGCTATGGTATAGTGCATATCGATCTTCATCTGTTCTATGCAAATCGGACAACACAGAACCGGATCGAAACGGATCGAGTACGATCTCTGAACTCTGTTGGCCGAAAAAGCTTAGCGCCTCCGTCGGACTGTTTCTTCTTTTGTTGTGCCTTCAAATGAAATCGTTCAATAAATCTGGCAAATCCGGCGGCTTCTGTTTTATTTCTCGGCTGCAGCAACTAACTTATGTATATTTAACAGGAAAAGAAAACAAAACAAAATCTCAATAGCCACAAAAGATCAGCGCCAATAACAGCATCGCATCAAAAATCTTATCACAGACGAGTTTTTCGTTCGACTTTTATCCCTCTTCTTTTTTTTACGCGTGTGTATTGTGTTTTTTTTTGTTTTTGCTCTTTTTTTCACAATTGAACCATAAATTTAAAAGATTTATGCTAATTGTTGTTGCCCCGTATTGTTGTTGCTGATGCGACCGGCAACTGCTTCAAGTCTACCCCCAAAATGTGAAATTTATAGACCCATCTGAACGATCCGATCCGATCCGATCGATCGATCTAATGAATATTCAACATCTCGCCTGCATGTTACGCCGTTTTAAATGCGTGTTTCAAACAAATTTTATTGCGTTTCATAAAGTACCAAAAGACACCGAACCGAAAGCAAAAACCTCAACCTATAGGGGGGAATTTCTTAATTGATTTTTTAGTGCTGGCGATGGCAAGTGTCGATTTTAACAATTATTTTAACAGCTGTACAAAATCTGCATCAAATTGCAGTCACTTATTTATGGAGAGCTTCAATTAGGAGTGTATTATCCGGCAAATTTATCATTTTATTTGGGGAAATATTAAATATTCAGCAAAATGATTACTTCGAATTTTTGGGGAATTTAATTTCAAGGTTTAGTGTCGGGGATTGTGATGGGAAGAAGTTTAAATGGTTCTCTCGCTGCTTATGATATAAATTAAAATGGAAATGAATATCTAAAATGTCTCAACCGATTGTAGAAATAAAGATTAAAAGCCTACGAACACGTTCCCATCTCTGAGATGCTCCCCGAAATGTTTCCCGACAATTCATCTATCAATCACTTTACTTAATTATTTTCCCATTAGTCTGTGCCGCCAAGTAAACTGTCATTTGCTTGTATGATAATTCCTTCTCATTATCCCTCACTTGATGTGTAAAAAACATTTCAATTACTTGATCTGGTTATTGTTGATTTTGGTGAGCAATTTCGTTGCGCATTTTTATCTGTATAATATTCAATGCAATATACTTGAAGCATTTAATTAATGGCCAGCATTTTGCATGTACTCTCGTATTTTCAGTCATTAATAAAACAGTGCGAGAGTGCGAGTGCGAGTGCGAGTGAAAGAAAAGCCAATAAAACCGCGACGGGAACGGACACAAATTGTTTTTCCATTAATCACAACAAAATGGTTTTAATACCCTGGCAGAGGCTACTACGATTTGAAACAGATGTTTGCTGCTTGAAGAGATGAGATGTGAAGGTAAGAATTTATTACTAAATTATGGATATATATATTTTAGCCTAAGAGATTTAATTCTCCTAATTCTTTGCATTATAAGTTCTTTCATAATGCATTCAAATACTTTGCACTGCTGTTTTTTCCCCTAAAGTTGGAAAATATTTAACCACAAGGGTATCCTCCTCTTCGACTCCTTTTGCACAGCGTTCCCTTACTTCCACTGGTCAACTTTTGCTGTTGGCAAAACAATTGTCGTTTAACTTTTGAACGGAAGCCGATGTTAACCTGGCTGACGAATGTTTCTTTTTTTTTGTTTTTTTTTGCCGGCAACCACAAACGGAAAACTGCCATTGACAGGGAATAAATACCGAGTATAAATTTAAACAAACAAATACATATTTAAACAGAAACTTGTGGCCGTGACTAGGCCCAAAGGCGGGCGCTGCAGATCAAAGGGCTGCCCCGAAAGCTGCGACTAAAGCAATTAATAAAACAAAAGAAAAACCAACAGCCGAGAGGTGAAAACCCAGAAGTCAGTTACCACCAGTGGTACTCGTCGTAATAGATATCTATGAGAATAATTTATGACAGTTCACACACAAAAACTATCAAATACAAATGTGTCTGCGGCTGGGCCTGGACGGGGCTGGGTTTTGGGGTTGACGTTGAGGTTGAAATTCCATTGAAATCTGACAGAAAGAAATGTGCAATATGGACGCCATCATAGCTAAGCGCAACATGTGTGTATCTATGAGAGATACCGGTGTGTGTGTGTGTGTGTGTGTGTGTGTGTGTGTGTGTGTGTGGCAGCTATAACTACGTCCTAACATGGCCGATGGGCTGCTCATTTCTTTGGTGTGCGCACGCCTGTCCCCCCATCCACAGTCCCTTGCCACTGCCACAACCGCTGCCATTTAACTTTTCAACTGTGATGTGCGCTGTGCTGTGCTGTGCTGCGTGTGACACGTTTAATGGCAGGCAGTAGGCTGCCACTTTGCCTCACTCCCCTAGGGGTGTCCCCTACTCTCTCTCTCTGCTCCCATCCCCTACACCCTGCTCTCCTCTGTGCCCTCAACGAGCCTGCGCGTTGACTGAATATGCCCCCTGCCCCGGCTCCTGTCTCTCGGTGTCTGCCACAGCCTGTCACTTTCGTTTAACTTTTCACATTGCGCGCCCGAAAACACAACCAGGAGCCGCGCCGCAGCCTTGCCACGCGGGTTGAGAGGGGCGCTGCATTCGGGGTGTTTTTAGCAATTTGTTTTCCCAACGCCCGTTATAACGCGCACACACACACACACACACGGATGCAGATGCAGATCCAGAGAGGCTGTGTGGCAAGGCCAGACATTGACTTGACTGCGGGCGGGGGGAACCAACAAATACTAGCCCCGTCTTTCGGCTCGGTTGTTGCCATTGTTGTAGATACATATGCAATTGTTGTTGTCATGTCTATGCCCACTTTTGAAAATATGTCAGATGTCAGGCACACATATTCCCCGGGAAGAGGAGGAGAGGAGTGGAAAGGAAAGGAAAGGAAAGGAAAGGCGACACGACACCCATTTGAAGTGGCATTTTTGGCGAGCATGTCATTTGACTGTAATTTACTCGTGAGTGTCGTGTCGTGTCGTGTCGTGTCTCCGGTTGCGGTTGAGGTTGCACTCACGTGAGTGTTTCTGGGTGTGAGATGCATAAATCTATTTGGCCATGAATTTTAAATGGGTTTCTTGGCTGCTGAAGTTTCCAGTTTTGCAGAAAAGTTATGCCAAAAGTGTGGCCCACAGCTCGAAGGGGAAAGACAATCATTTAAAGAGCTTCCCCTTTGGAAACCTTTACTTATTTATTACACAAATCCTTTGCTAATGTCCAATAGTGCAGCTGAGGGTCAGAGATTTCCCGTACCGATAGAGAGATTGATGGCAGAGATCTCTGCGGGTGTCATAAAGCTATCAGTCGGTTATCTGCGGGATTGATGCTAGTTCTGTGCCTGTTTCTTTATCATTTCTCTCTTTTTTTTATGTTTATTATTTGCTATGAATACTTCGTACTCTCACTGGCCCTCGCAGTGTTATTTCAGCACTCCCTTTGCTTGGCCCTCATAAAAATTCCACAATTTAAAACTTGCACCTTGCAACTTTTGGCTCGAAATGTCGTAAATAACACTGTCGGGGCAGGCAGCCATAGCCATATAAAGGTGAAAAAACAAAAGGCAAAGATAGAACTATAAAAAGAAGAGACAGACGACAGCCGATAGCCGACAGACGATGGGAAGCGGGGCAGCGGGGACGCTGAAGAGTATGCAATAAAATTTACAATCTGCCCCTCCCCACGCCAGGGGATCCAGCCACAAAGCGGTGTGTGCATGAGAGAGTCGAACCTGATCCATAGGAAGATCTCTGCATGAGCTGCAACCGGTAGCAGAAAAGGGGAAAATCTTCTTCCAAAAAGAGAGCACTCTTGCTCTCGAAGGAGAGACACGCCTAGAAGATCGATTACCCGAAAAACCCACTACGACAATCTTCACGTCATTGCGCAAATTGAGCGATCATCATCATCGTCACACTCTGATTTGGCTCGATCGATGGATGGATGGATCAATGAATCAATGAGACGCTCGATAGATGGATGGTTGGATGGATGGAGGGATGACAAAAGCCCTTGAGAGACTCTGCCATACACTCAATTGGTTTGCTGTGGCTGTGACTTGTCATGTCTTCGCCTTGGCTATACACCGTGAGAATGTTGCGCTCCCAAACAAAAAAATACAAAATAAATGTAAGAAAGAAAGAAAAAACAAAACCCAAACAAAGCCGCTTGATAGCAACAACATTGACAATGGGGCGGGGTGTGGGGCTATATCTTTCAGCTGATATCGAAGCAGTTATGACAACAACTTGAGCACTTGTCACTTGAACAGATTTTTGGCGAATGTTTTCCTAAGGCCTTTCGATCGTTCGGTATTTAAGCTGCTTTTCAGCTACAGAAATACTCGAAATACACGTACAACAGCAACAAGCGAATTGCAGCGAAGGCTATAACCAAAAACCGTAATATAAAAGAGCTCCAAAAATAAAAATAAAACTCTATAAACTACCAACCAATATTTGTATTGTGTAAACTCTTTTTTGGTTGATTTATATGCCATGAAAATTTTCAACGGGCGTCTGTGTCAAATAAATATAACTCTTTTTTTCGGTGACTTTCGAAAAAGGCGTATCGCTTTTTAATTAGAGCTACTTTTTTGTGTTATCCGAGTGGCGGCTGGCTGGACGTGGGCTTTATTGTATTTAATACACATCGAATTATGCTAAAATATTACTACCAAAACAGAAGAAATATAACATTTTACACGTCGGCGTTTGTTTGGCGCTAAGTTCAGATCATCGTATCGCATCTGATTGTTATTTAATGACCACACGAACTGCTCTTTATGAATGGACGACGCCTACGATCAACAGACAACAAAATCGAACAGG